GGATGATTGGGTTTACACAAACCCGCAGAAAAAAAACAAAAATAGGAAGGAAAAATATGTTCCAGATTAGCTACAAAACTCTGAAATCAGCAGTGTTCCCTTCGCAAAAACAAACTGCTCTACCTGAAGAGGCCTCCTCTGTGCCCCAACCCACCCTCCCACCCACGGATGAGGAAAAACTAGAAACCTCGGCCAGAGGCACTGCAGAAAAAAGTTATTTTCCTTTTATGATCTCTTACTCTGAAAACTGCTGACCATTCTACCACTTCCAAAGCAAGTTTCCCAACAACCACTCTGTTACCTACACCCAATGGTCTATATCACCCAAAAGGTTCAGAGTTTGTCATGGGCAGGTAACCAACTTTACATACCATTGGTTGTCTTTTTTCCCAAGTTCTCAACTTTAGCATCTTCTAAAAAGTGGTCTTCCAGCAGGTCTTGTTTTCCCGTATGTTTTGGGATGAAGATTCCATAATCTAATCCCCCTGGAGAGTTGGGAAGGAAGACTTGGGTGGGCTCAGGTTTTCCTGCCCAGTTCAGGGAGGAAGATGCCCTGGCAGCTGGGCTTGTTCAGGCCTCAGGCACCCACATAGTGGTGGGAACACGAGAGCCACAGTGCTGAGCCCTCAAGGGGCCTCCTGTTTGCCCACCCAAGCCCTGATTGTTCCTGGAGAGGAGCAGCCAGTTGGGCCAGTTGGAAGGAACTCCTTGACTCAGTGTGCACGATTTATTTATAGTAAGCCCCAAGGCCTTTGTGAGGTCTGTCCTTGTCACTGAGTCTGTGCAGGCAGGAGCCAGCACCACTGTGCCAGACTACATAGGCCTGATAGAGGCTTCTCCTCCAAGGCTGGGGTGGAGGGGGTCTCCCAGGAGGTCTGGCAGCCAACAGTGCAGCTTGATAGCACAGCAGGGTAATTTTTATTATTTAACACTCACTTCACAGACCCAATATGCTAGGCGCTGCATGCTGATTGGCTTTTTGCTTTAAAAGTCTAGCTGGCAGTCCTAAATTAAATAAACACATTAACAGTAATTATTTTCATCAAAAAGGGCAAAAATAGGAGGGGTAGCTCAGGATAGCCTACACAGGGTATTTATTTGTCACAAACCAACAGCACAGCTTGGTCTAACAGTGGGGCCTGCAGAGATGACTAGTTTAGGGCACCTTGGCTGCAGACTCCCTGGGATCCCGACAAGGCCTACTGCAAT